TTGCGAAACATCAACACAAAGATTGATGGAGCCTATGGTGAGCTTATCAACAAGTTTAAAGCCTTGGAGAATCAGTTCGCTTCTATGACCTCCACCTATCAACGCCCAGGGAAAGAACATTGCAATGTTATCCTCTCAAATGCTACCACTAAGTTTGACTTGGCTGATCATAAGAGAGAGGTAGATGAGATTGAAAGACTATTGTATGGCTCTGAATTTGTGCAAGATGAGAACCAGAGTGTAGACACGGCTGATGTTCAGATTGTGGAGAAGGCTAAGGCTAACGTCGTGGACACTGGTAAACTCCAAGATGTGGAGAAAGTTTCAACCAAGGTGGATCAGAAAGATAAGACAGAGGTTGTGAAACAAGCTTCGCACAAGGCTGAGGTTCTGGTTGGTAATGAAGCTGTCCAGAAGTTGACAAAGGTTGGGATTGAAGGATCCAAAGAGTTTAAGTTTGAAGAAGACAAGGAGGTTCAGCTATCTCCCTATGATAAACTCCCTTTCCCAAAGAGGATCATCACCAAAGCTCAAAAGAAGGTGATCTCCAAGTTTAGGAAGGAATTGAGTGATGTTGGAATCAATCTCCCTAAGTTCTCCAATATGCCAGAGGCTTGTGACCAGCTAGTGCTCATAAAAGACACTATAGCCAACAAAGAAAAGATGACAGAGCTTCTTGACATCTCTTCCTCTCTGCTGGATCCTAAACCTCCAACAAAATCTCTACCCAAGCTAGAAGATCAAGGGAAGTTCATATTGCCTTGCTCCCTTGGTGATTTCAAAGTTGATGATGCTCTTGTGGATAGTGGAGCTTGTGTGAATGTGATCTCATTGGAGATGGTGCAGAGCTTGAAGATCAAAGGCATGGAGCCAAACAACTCCTCCCTCATGTTTGGGGATTCTTCTTCAAAACACACATATTGGTCTCATCAAGGACTTCCCTTTGAATATTGGAGATTGCACCATCCCCATAAACCTCACTGTTCTTGATATAGCAAGCAAGAGGAGAATGACATTGCTCTTAGGCACGCCCTTCCTTGCTAATGTGAGAGCTTGCATAGATTTCCCAAATGAGAAGGTGGTTCTCCATAATGTCAACAAGGAAGTCTACTATCCGATAAAGTCACCAATACTGAATGGAAGTTATTGTGGAACAATATTGATAGATGCATTGGTTGTTAAAGAGGAAGAAGTTCTTGGTGAAGAGTCCTTACAGAAGAGTAATGTAGAGCACTTGAGAGACACTACCAAGGATGAGATGAGTGAACCCACTAAGGCCACTCAAAGCAAGAAGAAGATGAAAGCTCCTCACTCCCCACCTATGCCACACACTCTCACTCTTCACCCACTACAGCTAAAGGATGGAACCATTGAGTATAAGATCAAGTGTAAAGGAAGGTCAAAGCCATTCTCCAGTGCCAGGGCCATTATCTCTCCTCAACTCCAAGCTAATTCACTCAAGCTCCAAGAGTTCCTTACACATGTCCTAACCATCACCTTTGAAGGTGGGAAGGATCCTCCTTCTCAATAGGTAAACAAAGGTAGTCAAGCTAAGAGACTTTAAACAAGTTCACTTGGGAGGAAGTCCCATGATTATCCTTGTATATATTTATGCTTTTAGTGAGTTGAATAAGGGGAGGAACAAGTTTGGGGGTTTCCTCAATATGCCAAAAGGTCATGCCCAAACACCAACAGCCACAACACTGCTCCTTCCCACTTGAGGTATCACTCCAACCATTCTTTGTATATACGATTGCTTTTATCATATTTTAACAAATGTGTTGGACCAGGTTTTGGATTCTGGTGATGTTGAAACCATTTAGTGTACTGGGGGAACCAAAATAAACAACCATAGTTCACCCTAAGAGACATCAAATAAGTTTGTTGTCATTTAAAAACAATCCAAGCCATTATTTTTGTTGAATGAAATTACAACTAACCTCTTTTTTTCTTCCTAACCTCACTTTTTGACTCGTGCCATAGTGATTCAAGAAAAATTCAAGCCTTTTAAAAACAACACAAACCATTTTGCTGTCTTCCGAAGATTCTTGTGACTTCATTGTATAGATCGAAAAGGTGAAGTCAATAACCTTCTCTGACTTATCGTTTTTGACTCAGATCACTTCTGCTTCGACATGCAAACATGACTGAAATGAAAATGTTTAGAAATGTATCAAAATTAGAGATTTGTAAACGTAGAGCTCTTGAGTCTATTTAATCAAAAAGAAAAGTGAGAAGATTACTTGGTAGATATCAGAGCAGATAAGCTTTTGTCGGTGGATCTAGAACTCTCAATCGTCATTTTTTGTTTTGCAGAGAGACTATTGTTCTTTTTCATCGAAGAGTTTTTATTTACAAAAGTCATGTTAACAAATTTTTTCGGTAAAAAAAAAAAAAAAAACCTTTACCCACATAGAATTATTGTTAACCCACTAGGCCCATTTTCTATTAAAAAAATTACTTTGAAAATCCATTAAAAAACATGTTTTTTTAAGTATAATGATACATTTAAGAATTAAACATATTAAAATTATAGATATTACTAATATCAAATAACTTGCATGCCAATGTAATTAAATTTTTTTTAAATTTTTTTTAAAATTTTAAACAAAGTTTAATAGTATACATACTTCTTTTAAAGGCAAAAAAATTGTAAATAGATTAGATTATCTTATATACAAATACATCATCTTACAATTATCAAAATTTGAACAAAATTTATTTAAAAAGAAACAATTCATGTGCTTGAAATCATTAAATATAGCTAAATTATAAATAAACTGTTGATTTTTAAAATTATATAGTGATAAATTTATAGCTTTAAAATAATAATTGACATCTAATAATAATTTAAAAATTTAAGAAAACCTAAAAAATAAAACGATATTAGATTATAAAATATCGAAACACATATTCTTATAATTAAGGTTAAAAAAAAGTACATATTCTTATACTTAGAAAATATCTTATAATTAAAAATGATAATTTAATAGGAAAAAATTCCGCGTTTTGAAAACGCGGGTCAAATTATAATTTCACTTATACCTTAATCATCTTTACCATTAAAACTTTAATAGACAAAAAACCTTTATGCCCTAAATAATTAAACATACCTAATCTACTATTCCGTCGGAAACGTCGCGATCCGAATCGAGCTCAGCGACGGATGCGCTGGCTGGGGAGAAGCTCCGATTCTACCATCGGTGACGGCGGAGGATCAGCCTACAGCCATGGCTAAAGCGCGGGAAGCTTGCGAGCTTCTCAAATAGTTTCCGGAGATGAAGCTAGGTCATGTTCTTGAGGAGATCGGCGGGATTCTCCCTGGGCATCGATTTGCGTCTGTAAAGTCTGAAGCTTTCAGTTGATTAATGAATTCCTTAGCTTGATTTTTCTTAAAGCATATAAATTTGTTGAGGAACCAGGGTCTGGAGCCGTTTCTATCGTCAACAACAAGAGGGTTTCAGTTGGGACACTCGAGTGGGTTCAGAGGTATTATATGTTCATCATTTGTATTAGTTGCTTATCGACAGAAGCTTCACTTTTTAATTCACTCTTGCTCAATGCAGACATGGAGCCACTGAGAACTTATTACATGCAATCTGAAGAGCATGAATCCAACAACCACTCTGTTGTATATATTGGGGTGGATAATACACTTGCTACAGTCATCCGCTTTGAAGATAAAATCAGGGAAGATGCTGCACAAGTCGTTGAGAATTTGACTCGACAGGGAATTGATGTGTACATGTTGCCTGGTGACAAGAAGAGTGCTGTGAACTATGTAGCTTCTGTTGTTGGTATTCCTCAAGAAAGGGTATGTTCTTCTCTTCCTGCTATCCCCTTAACTCCGTAAAAGTTGCATAGGAACTGATGATAATGAACTGCGGATGCACTGATCTCAGATGAGGATTTAGCCATTAGAGCAGCCGCAGCCTCCATTTATTTGACCTGAAATTTTCTTGGATCAGAGGAGAACATAACATGTACCTGAACTCCTTTAATCTTCTGACCAACGTTTTCTCCGTCACTTTTGCAGAGTTTTTCATTGTATGTGCATCTGTAACACTAGGATCATCGCTCATCAGCCTTTTCTTTTCCTCTTCTATAGATTTATTTTCTCTGTGAGTTTTTCCTACAATAAGAATCATAGTATGCTGAATTTGATAACACTTGAAATTTATAGACACACCTTGTCTTTGATCAATCTTTCATTTTATCTATATATTCTTCGATGGATTATTTGTGTTTGCAAGAACGAAACATCTATAATGATTAATAAAACTATTTACGTGTGTTTATAAGAGTTTATAAAACCTTGTATGAACCGTTTAAGAAGTTGATAAGAGACTTATAAATATTTATAAACTATTTATAAAGGTATATAAAACTATTTATAAGTGTATAAAACCATGTACAAGAACTTATCACCCATTTAGAAGAGTTTATAAATCTATTTACAAGGTTTATAAATCTATTTTTAAGGATTTATACAAAATATTAAAAGATTTTAATAATATTCATAAAAAAGTTTATAAGAGTTTTCATTTAGAAGAGTTTATAAATCATTTATAAAAATATATAATTTCTTACAAAAATTCATAAGTGGATCCTTAAAAAAAGGTATTTATAAGTGTTTATAATTCTTTTATCAGTGTTTATAAAACCATGTACAAGAACTTATCACCCATTTATAAGAGTTTATAAATCTATTTACAAGGTTTATAAATCTATTTATAAGGATTTATACAAAATATTAAAAGAGTTTAATAATCTTCATAAAACAATTTATAAACAAACCTAAGCTTTGGCAAGAGTATGTACACTTTTCTATCTAGATCTACACACTTCTTCTTTATCCAGTAGAGAAGTCTAAATACCTTATTCAAGTTATGTAGACTTTTGGATAAATGTTTCCATTAACTTGGGTGTCATTTTGTTGCAAATTTTTAAAGTTCCTTACTTTAGACACAAGTGACAATAGAGAGATAAGTAAAAGAGAATCACACATCTCCTGGAGAAGCACATAGAATACGCTTATGACTACCATTATCAAGCTCAAAAAGAAGCTTCGCATCCTCAGGCTGATGAACACCAACTTTATAATTCACCACCATGAAAAACCTCTCCCCACTAGGATCAAACCTCACAAGACTCGCCTCGTGCCCCAACCTACAACAAAAACTCCTATTTCCTCTCACAAGATTCAACATCGCAAAGCACTCGTCACGCTACACAGCCAAAGCAAGCTTCCCAGAAGGATGAATCACGAGATCATTAACGGCCTTCTTATGAGGACGAAAGAACTTGAGGAGAACAAAAGGTTCAGTGTCGAAAATCGCGACGGAGCCATCGGAGGCGGCGGAGATGAGATTGCATGGGAAGGAGAGGGAAGAGGGAGTGTAGAAGGAGAGGGCGGTGATTGAAGCTGTGTGGTTGTGGTCGAGGAGGGAGTCGAGGGAGGATGCAGAAGGGAGGTCGTAGAGGTGAATTGTGCCGTCGGAACAGCTGGAAGCAGCGGTGTGTCCGGAGCAGGCGACGGTGGTGATGGGGGAGATGTGGGAAGGGTAGGAGCAAGATGAAGATTTGATTTGGTCGTCTTCCTAAGAGACGATAGATCTGGTCTTCACTCCCTATGGATAATTATGTTATTTATTGATGAGTGTTGAGCAGGCGACGGTGGTGATGGAGGAGATGTGGGAAGGGTAGGAGCAAGATGAAGATTTGATTTGGTCGCCTTCCAAAGAGACGATAGATCTGGTCTTCACTCCCTATGGATAATTATGTTATTTATTGATGAGTGTTCTAGGTATTAATGAAAATGTCCTAAGAGGAGGTAAATCTGAATTAGTGTACTAGATAATATGTAAAATTGCAATTTTCCCTATTTGGAACTATATAATGTAAGATAATGTGATATAACATGTTGTATGATATATGTTAACTTATTTTAATAATTGATTTTTAAATATTGTAGGTCTATTTTTTAGAATAAGATATGGTGTATAACATTATTGCATAACAACCATAATGTTTGATGATAAATTATTCTTAGAAAGAAAGTGTATCATATGGAATGAAGAGTAGTAGTAATATTTATTTAAAAAAATTTAAATATTGTACAATTAGGATAATAATTGGTAAGACTATATTAAGATTTGAGTAGATATAAGTTTGGTTTTACATCATCATGTATAAAAAATTATAAACTCTAAAAAATATACAGTAACAATGTTTTGATTATGTACAAACGAATACTGATGGATCTAGTTTTTAATTAATAATAATGTATTGTTTTTTATATGTGGTATACACGTGAAATAATATCATGTGAACAAAGTCATAGACACTATGTTAGAATGAGATGAATAGTTAGATACATAAGTTAATGTTTTATTAAGATATAAGGAAGCGTGAATTAATCCATAATTGTAGTAATGAGATTAGACTAATTCTTGGGGGTGAACCTCTAGGTTCCCCATCCAATAAGATTGTATTATTCATATTTGATATCTTTTTAAAAGGGAAACAAAATCTTATTAGGTTATATTATGTTTTTAAAAATAAAAATACAGAAATAAATAAAAAATAAGAATAATAAATAAAAAGGAAAATACTTCATTTAAAAAAATATATTTTAACACTAAACCTTACAAAGTTTATGGTTTTAGAGTTTGTAATTTAGGGGTATAGGGAGTTTTAACAAATGAAAAAGAAGGAAAAGATAAATAAAAAAATATTTTTATAAAGTTTATGTTTAAAAACAAAATTATATATCATTTAGAGTTAATAAATTTAATGATATATAAATAACAAGGTGACTAGCTATATTTTCTAAAAAAAATTTTAAAAAATACATTTATGTAAATTATCTATTTAAATAAACTTAACATTTATATATAAATATAGGGTTTGGAGTATAGTGTTTTTGGGTTTAGATTTAAGACTTAGATTAGACTTTCAGATTAAACTGAAGATTTACTTGAATAATAAAAAAAATATTAGAATTTTAAGATTTTTATTTGGAGTTTATGGTATATGATTAATTTGGGGTATGGTATAATTTAAGGTTTGAAATTTTATAAATTTTAAAATTGAAACTTAAGTTTGAGATTAATTAGAAAATTAGGGGCTGTATTTAAATTTTAGATTTTAAAGTTAGAGTTAAGGGTTTAGGATTTAGGGGTTAGGGTTTTTGGAGGGTTGAAAAATGAAATGGAGTCAGAGGAAAAGTGAAACGAGGGTTAGAGGGAAAATGAAATTATTTTTCCGCCTTAATTTTTGCATAGCGTTTCAAAACTGATAATTCTATCTATGTATACTACATTTCTAAAAAATATTTGCAAAATTAAAATCGGACCAACCAAACATATCGTTTGCAATTTAACAAACACTATATAAGAATAAGGGGTATGTCAATCATAGCAGAAAGAAAAAAACGATATCCGCTAGTGCTATCAATACTTATATTTCTTGTAGTGTGTGGACAATTCATGCTGATTCAGATGATATATTTCTGTACAGATATGCAAAAATGTAAAAGAAACTGAGAACAAATGCCTGGAGCAAGGGCTGTACTGGACTTTGAATATCTCACAACGAATGATTCAATAAGTGGGTTTACCATTTCCGGCTTCTCATCTTACAAAATTTACAGAAATACAATAAGAAGAAGAAGAAGAATAGAAGGTTACTTCATTGGAGAGAGAGGAGAGACATGAGGACAGTGGCGGGCTTTAGGCAGAACAACGAACTCTTCAACCGCATCAAAATCACCATAAGCTCGTCCAAGCACGATTAGAACCGGGCACTGCAAATAGTTAAATGACATTGTCATTGTGAAGTAAAAACTTTAAAGGTTTAGTTTTAACTACGGCTGAAGAGTAAGATCATAATAACGAACCTTGACCTGTGGGAGTAAATCCTCTGGAAGTGGTCCACCAGAGTGACAGATGAATTCAAGGAAGACATCAACTGCACCAGGCTCAATACCTGGTCGTAGAGCCGCTCTCCTATGACATACCACTAAACAACAAGAACAAGCCTCCGAACGCATCTCCAATTCTCCTTACCGGCCTCCCCTCTACAGATATAGTACGGTACTGTAGTGCTCTCGACTCTCTTAATTTGTGTTTACCGTCTTAACTAACTCAGCCAGAATGTATAAATAACTCAGCCACTTTTACTCACCGGGTAGATGCATTGTTCACATCACTTCTACTAGGCCCAAACAAACTACGGACCGCTTAATCCTCTCCCGAGGTACGTAGGCAACCCTAACCTGTCCAGCTGTAACCCCTGAACAAAATCTCTAAGCGGGGAAAACCTTGCGGCAACCTAAACCCGCCGAGTAAGAACAATCTCATCCGAGACACTAGCGATGCTTGCGCCCTCACTGAACCATCTGGCGGACTGCGCACAAGTACACGCTTCAAATCGCCAATGCGTCCTGATCAAACGCATCTGGCATATATAATCCAGACAACTTACAACTGTACGGAGAACGACGGTCATTTTTGGATTCATATTAAATCCCGAGAAAGGGATTGGCTAACAAGATACTCGGCGATATTACTTTATCGCTTACCAAAAACCTTGGCCGCTCTGACGCATAGATGAGCCACTCCCACTTGCACCTGATCGCGTTTGAAATCGAGCGATCAGAGCAACGTATGAGTTTTTACCGCCCAACTTTGATAATCGGGTATCACGCCAAACGGCCGAATATCCGTGAAGTTACTTCGATTGGGCGAGTGACGATAGTTTGATAAATTTGTCCGAGTTTTAAAACCCGTGACTGAATTACTTCGAATTATTCCCAAGTTTCCGATTAACGGCGTTTCGATAATTTTTTCCGAGTTAAAATACTTGCGACTGAAAATTACTTTGAATTAATCCTGAATAACCGGTTAACGATGCACTACAAGAAAACTCGTCCATTACTAGGACGAGTTTTCCTCGAAACACGTTCATCGTAAAGCCATTTTCCTCGTAAGGTCCTAGCGAATTTACGAGGAAAAGTTTCCTCGTAAAGGCGTGGTTATATTTTCCTCGTAAGGTCCTCGTAGGCTTTCCTCGTAAGCTCGTAGTAAGCTTTTCCTCGTAAGATCGTAGTAATAGATTACGAGGAACTTACTAGAACCAGTTACGAGGACATTACTTGGAAACCATTACGAGGATTTTGCTTCGAAATGTTTTTTTCCCTATTAAAAAAATAATTATAAATAATTATTTTATTTTTTAAAAATAAAAATCAAATTATAAATAAAAAATAAGAAACAAAATATATTATAAATAACTAAATAATCTACAAAAAGTTTTTAAATTCATAATATACAATTAAAAATAAAAAAAAAACTACGGATGCTGGTCGTGAAATTGCTGAACGAACTCGTCGTCGTCCTGGCTCGGCAAATCCTCTCCATAGTTGGTTGCCGGCTGTGACTGTGATGGTGGATTCTGTTGGGTTGGAATCCCTCCACGTTCCCGTCTCTGACGCAACATCTCTGCACATGCGGGTTTCCAACCGCCATAATGTCGAGGACATCGGTGAGAGAAGTCACATGCTCGGTGAGCGAACTCACATGAGACTGCGTCGCCTGCAACTCCGAGCGCAGCTGAGCATTGACATCGTGCTGCTCCTGATGATAAGACGATTTCGCTGCAGGGACATCGTTAACCGAGCCAATCCCGATGATACGCCCCTTTTTCCTAGGGGCGACCTGTAAATAAAAATATTAATAGCATTAAGAAATTTTTTTTAAAAATATTAAAAATTAAGAGTAAAACAAATTATTTACCTCCTCGTAAATCTTATCCACGTCAACAGTGGATAATATGACTGGAGTCCCAGTCTGCTGAGTCAGCTGTGTCTGGCATTCGTCAACTCGGGCAACAAGCTCGTTGTAGATCCGCTCGGAAGCAGGATCTACAAACTGCCCAGCCTTGTTCCGGTGGGTCCTCTCGTAAATGTCTTTCAGAGATGGAAGAAATCCTGTCTCCTTAGCCTAAAATTAATTTATAAAATTAAATATTAATTTGGAATATTCAAAAAAAAAAAAAAATTGTTATTAAAAATCATCTTACCATGTCTAGACGAACTCCCCCGTGAGGTTTTCGACCCGTGGTGTGAAGCACCTTCGTGTTGCCATGCTCGTCTTTGGTCATGCGGTTCCCGGAGTTTGTGTTGGAGGTTCTGACCGAGTCCGGCAACCCCCAATAGCTGATGAGGCCATCCCACACCGTGGTTGTGAGGCAATCNACGAACTCCCCCGTGAGGTTTTCGACCCGTGGTGTGAAGCACCTTCGTGTTGCCATGCTCGTCTTTGGTCATGCGGTTCCCGGAGTTTGTGTTGGAGGTTCTGACCGAGTCCGGCAACCCCCAATAGCTGATGAGGCCATCCCACACCGTGGTTGTGAGGCAATCGGGTTTCCCGGCCTCGTAACCATCCACCTGATTTTAAAAAAAATTAGAATTAAAGTCAATATATTATATTTTTAAAACTATATATATATATATATATTATAATTTATAAATCTATACCTGATAGACGCCCTTCCAGTTGTAGACCATGTCGAGCAATCGTGCTCTTGCCTTGGCCTCAAACTCCTTCTTCACCCGCAGGTGAATCCCAATAAACCAACGATACTTTTTTCTGTAACCAGAAAAAATAAAAGACGGACTAGTTCAATAATATTAATAATTTTAAATAATTAAAAAATAAATTAACGAATCAAACTTACAGTGAACGATTTAAACCACGTCTTTTTTGTGTGGCTCGCCGTCATCTTCCAGTTTGGAGCTGGATCGGGAAAGTATCCCTTGATACAGTCCGTGACGCTAGATCCAACACAATTGTCAAGACCAAACCTGGAAAGACACAAAATAAATCATTAATTAGATTAATTTCTAAATATTTTGTTAATTAAGAAATAAATTAAAAAAACTTTTTAAAAATTAAAACATACCATAATATGTTTTGGCCGTCCCGTCGGTAAGGATCTAACTCTACCAGCTCTTCTCTGCCTG